ACTCACTCACTCACCCACCCACCTAAAACGCAGGCACGGACGCACGCACACACACGCACTCACTCACTCACTCACTGTTCCTCATCGTGTTGTAGTATGTTATGTTTCACGTATATACATCAACACGCGACCGTCAAAGTTATTCTTGTACGTTATAGTAGCTCAAAGTTAAATCCGGCCAGACGGTGTCCGAATCCCGTGTTGGAAACATTTACGATGATCCTCAGCGTCTGCCATATCGTCCTAAGAAGAAATGTCAAACCCAGGACTGTAACTGATCCCAGAATGTAACTGTGAAACGTATGTTCATAAGATGAACTTCAGATGCTTCAGTAGGAGTTACTTCCATGTTGGACATACTCTCCTGTTGCATGACTACCTATCATTACCATCTTCTTCGTCGTCAAAAGTAGTAGTGGTGGTAGTAGTAGTAGTAGTAGTAGTAGTAGTAGTAGTAGTAGTAGTAGTAGTCTTCTGTTGTGGCGCACGTAATCTAGTAGTTATCGTTACGATATTGTTTCTCTTTTTCTTCTTCTAATTCGATAGTAGTCGCAGTAGTAGTAGTAGTAGTAGTAGTACTCTAACGTTGTGGCGCACGTAATCTAGTAGTTATCGTCACGATATTGTTGCTCTTTTTCTTCTCCTAATCCGATAGTAGTCGCAGTAGTAGTAGTAGTAGTAGTAGTAGTAGTAGTAGTAGTAGTAGTAGTAGTAGTAGTAGTAGTAGTAGATGTTGTTGTTGTAGTCTTTTGTTGTGGCGACCGCATCCGTAGTGTAGTGGTTAGAGCGTCCGCCCGGAGAGCGGAAGGTCGTGGGCTCGATCCCCGACCGCGTCATACCAAAAGACGTTAAAATATGGTACTTGTTGGTCCCTGCCTGGCGCTCGGCCTTAATGGGTACAACAAGGACTGGTCGGCTCGGAGTCAGTATAATGTGTCTGAGTGGGGTATTCATGCTTCACTGCGGCATGGTATCTCAGTGGGCTAGCACTATAAAACCAGCTTAAGTCTGGGCTAGTACAAGCAGCCGCACATACACATACACATGCATGCACGTCGTCATATGAGCGAAGTATTCTCAAGTACGACGTTAAACCCAATTTCACCTCACCTCACCTCACATTCTGTTGTCGCGTACGTAACCTAGTAGTTATCGTTACGATATTGTTGCTCTTTTTCTTCTAATTAATTGCAGCAGCAGCAGCAGTAGTAGTAGTAGTAGTAGTAGTAGTAGTAGTAGTAGTAGTAGTAGTAGTAGTAGTAGTAGTAGTAGTAGTTGGTATTGCTCTTCTATTTCTTCTAATCATTAGAAACAGTAGTAGTAGTACTAGTAGCAGTAGAAGCATTGTACATGTGTGTGGCATTACGTATTTTATTCTCACTCTATTGTCTAAATGCTCCATCAAATATCTTGAGCGATATATCATATACAAAGTGGGAGGTTGGTGGTACAGGTGGGTTTTATGGTGATTCCAGTTCATATACTCCGTTTCCGGTCAAACAATTCCTCATTGTCAATGTTTGTAAACGACTTTGTTTACACTTCTGAGACGACATATTGATGTGTATATTTTCAGTATGTTATACATTGTTATAGTGTAAAATTCAATGCATACTAATAATAATCCCAGTTTCATGTTATGAATATATGCTCATGCCAATAATGGTTGTCACCCCATCCCCACCCCAACCCCCACACCTCACACACCCCACCCACACCCCCTCTCAATTAAAAATTGAAGGGGTGACAACCATTATTGGCATGAGCATACATAACATTTGAGTATATTGTACAAAGTACGTGATTGAGTGAGCAACACAGGCGCATATCAAACTAATTAATTGATAATGCTCATCGAACGAGGCGTTGAATATTCGTCACAATCTTTACGTTGGACTACAATTTCATCACATTCATTCCGACTATACGCATCCAACCGCAGCGTCTTAGACGACTGGCCTTTCAACAAGTGGACAATTAACCACCATCACACGTTAATAATTACTCCACACAAATACGTCAATATTTAACTTATATATTACCTGTTGAAGTGTCCTGATTTTACAGTCAAGCACTTGCCTAATTACACTAGAAAACAGGTACCAAATATCACAGGAAAGCAATTAAATTGAACAATTACCCAATTCAACATGGGAACAATTACCCGATTCAACATGTGAACAGTTACCCGATTCCACACGGAACAATTACCCGATTTAACACGTGAACAGTTACCCGATTCAACATGTGAACAATTACCCCCTTCAACATGTGAATAATTACCCGATTCAACATGTGAACAGTTACCCGATTCAACATATGAACAATTACACCGTTCAACATGTGAACAATTACCCGATTCCACATGTGAACAATTTCCATGAGAGGACAAGTACCTGATACCGCGATTTGTTCACATTCAAAATCAAAATCAAAGTCACATGACTATTCGTATGAAGGCCACTGGTCCATATACACAGAAAGTGCATGTATTTATATTACAGTTGTAAATCTGACATTACATTACATTACATTATTCTAGTATTTATAAAACCTTGTCTCTTTTCATGGCTTAGAGAGAGATATTTACATAGTTTGCTCAGAAACCTCGCTTTCCTTCTAAATATTTACATATTCATGTTATAACAGTACAGTGCAGGTAGTTTAGGCTGATGGAAGTATCTTGTATTATTAAAGGAATTAAAACGATAATCTTATAATATACTTACTTAAGTGTTAAAGAAGTTTAATGTGTTAGAAAAATATTCACTGTAGTGAAAATATCGCTTTGCCGTTAATACTTTGCTCATCACTCGTGAAAAAAAGGTTCTTCAAGTCACTCGATGACAGATACAAGATATCATATATTAAACTAGACACATGAAACATCTTCAGTTACAAAGATGTCATAAACGTAAACTTACATCTTCTTTTGTTAACTCTCAGGGTGGTGAGGTAGCCTAGTGGTTAAAGTGTTCGCTCGTCACGCCGAAGACCCGGGTTCGATTCCCCACCTGGGTACAATGTGTGAAGCCCATTTGTGGTGTCCCTGCCGTGATATTGCTTGAATATTGCTAAAAAGCGGCGTAAAACTAAACTCACTCACTCACTCGTTAACTTTCAACTTTATACTACACAAGATGAATGCAGGCATTAATAAGTTATATGTCTAGTCTACAGTTTCAGTGTTCATTTAAGGGCCTAGTATATGTAACAGTATATATGTACTGGGGAGTGAGTTTCAGTACTGAAAAATCTGAAAATCTAACCTCAGCTCTAATCGCACAAAACTACTGAAAGAAACACGGAGGTTCTTCTTACATGCGCAGACCGACTTTTGACAAGAATCGAACCCGATTTGAGTCCTGACGAATCACAACAACTACCACTGTGATACCCAACCAAGAGGTTTATCACACATGACTGCACTAAGTAAAACAATTACATTTATTTCCTAAAGTTATACTTTTGTATTCATATTTGTAACGGAACCTAAATCACAGGCTCAAAGAAGTTGGACTCGCTACAACATAAACACGAATTGAGCTCAGCGTCAGTATCTTAAGATGCAGAGGTAACGTAATATCCTAATTTGTTTGTGTTCAATTTCTATCCCTCCGCGCATCATTTGTCCAAAATTGATACACAGTGTTTGTAAAACGTGTTTGTTTTCACAGACATGATTAGGTAGTTTATCTCTCTCGTCAAGACAGTGACGTATTAGTTTTTAACCACAGACATATAAATAACAAAATATGAAAAGCAAAGATACTGGTTCCACACTGATTCCGCCAGGCAGATATGAGATGTTATTAGAAAACTTCAAGGGTCGTCATGTTTTCCTTAAATTTGATACAAAGTTTATCTTTTCGTTTAAAAAATAATTAGGGTATCTTTTACGTTCGTCTTTAGTACTGCAACGTCATGTTTCGGAATATTTTTCAAATAACTTGTGTGTATTACGCGTATATATATGTAAATAATTGTTTACTCCATGAGTTACAACTTTCTTATTAACCACCTCACTAAAACGGATCCCGATAATACGGACGACATTTTTACAAATCTTATCAATTTATCATTCATTCGTTGTGGCTGATGCTTTTGTTTTCGTGTCATCTGCTGTTTTAGTTGTATTATAATTGCGGGTTTATTGTGCACTTGCCACTGACTTTCGTTCTGTTAAATTTAAACAGGTATGTTAATATTTCTCAGACTCACGTCGCTTATAAATGAGGGAAAGAATCTTTCTCTGATAATTCAAGTATATTAAAAGTAAGAATCGCTTAAATATAGTTCTCGCGAACATCTGGTGTCATCGCTGATTTTCATTGATCAATTCATGTATTTATCACCGCTGCTCCGCCTTTAACGCCCAGTAAATCTCTTTGGACTGATTAGACTTGTCATATTCTGGTCATGAGGTTATATCTTTAGTATATGTGTATGACTAGCCCAAATTACACATTATCCTGTTGATCCGAGAAAGCCATATTTGAACAAATATCTTAAATACAATTCTTTGAATTTCTCTAGTCATCACTTGAGATAAACTCCCGTTTAGATTTCGGGTTAGAACTGGTCCCCAGAAAACTTGATTGGACAGTTAGACAGTTGGTTTTGTGTCAGAACAACCACACGACGTGTATCCCTGCTCATGATATCGATCACTGGGTAGTCTGGTCCAGTCTCGAATAATTTACAGGATGCCGTCAACTATCTGAAATATAGCCGAGTTATGCCTTTACCAATTAAAACCACACAACAAGTGAGAAATTTCATATAAACAAAATGGGGCGGTGGGGTAGTCTAGTGGTTAAAGCGTTGGCTCGTCATGCCGAAGACCCGGGTTCGAATCCCCACATTGGTACAATGAGTGAAGCCCATTTCTGGTGTCCCCCTCCGTGATATTGCTGGAATATTGCTAAAAGCGGCGTAAAACCAAACTCAGTCAGTCAGTCACATGTACAAAATAATTAATTTCTATGAGAACTTTTCAGAGTCAAGAAATGTGTTCGGAAGCTCAGGCTGTCAACGTAAACAACGCCGTGCTGTTTACTTGCGTTGCTGTATCATGGTGAGTGTATTGTGAGCCTGTGCATCTATGCTGAATAAATGTCCGTCTCTCTGTAATTTTTGTTGTTGTTGTAAAAAACTATATACACATCATACTGATTCAAAATACCGGCACACGCATCTTGGAACATTTCGACGGTTAATTATATGCACTCCAAGCATGCTAATGACATTTTGGAAAACTAATATCGTGAGCCACTAACAATGTTTTAGCTTATTTTGGTTTGTGTAAATATTTATTAGCACTTTACACATTAGACAATAGGCCATAATAGAAGTACCACCCGAGGTGTGTTATTGTTTAATTTGACGCATATCTTTTAACACATTACACAGACTTCTCAAATGGTTTTGCCATGTAAAGGACATGTCCCGACTGCAAATTAGCAGCGAAAGGTGTGTTTTCCCCATTTACATTGTTGTACATTATAAGCACATGTGATAAGGAGAAGGTGTAAGTAAAAACTCAAATCAATGCAGTCTATACTAAAACGAAATGAGGGCAGTTATGTTAAATTAATTTGACTGTGCCACAAAATACGCTTATGTGTGTATGTGGATGAATATTTGAAAGTGTATTTGCATGTTTGTGTGTGTAGGTTTGTCAATTTCAGCTTACCCCGAATTACATACATTTGTATGTGCATGTGAATGTCTTGTCAAACTGAATTTACCTCGAAATACGCCTAATTCTACCGTGATTTCAGTAAATACTGGATGGTGATTGGTTAATCAAAGTCATTCAGAGATATATAATCACGTTATGTACCTCTCATTTTCAAACACAGTATGTGAGTTTTTAAAATCTTAATAACGCGGTTATGGTAGAATGGAGATAAAGATACTGTGTTGGAAAATCAGAGGTATATCACGAAAGTATAACAGCTCTAATTTTTTTATTTAAAACCTCACGCTACGCGTTCGGTTTTTAAATCAAATTTAGAGCTCTTATAATTTCGTCATATACCTCTGATCTTCCAACACAGAATGTTTATGTCCTAAATATGTATGTGAATGTTTTGTCAAACTGACTTTACCGTGAGATATACCTAAATGTCAATGTAAATTTACCCCGAGAGCCGGTAAATGTAAAAAAGTGTATGAGCATGCGAGAACATTTTGTTTATCTGAATTTACCGCGAAATAAGTCTAAATGTGTATGTGAATGTTTTGTCAAACTGAATTTACCCCGAAATACCTTTAAATTTGTATGTGCATGTGAATGTTTTGTCAAACTGAATTTACCCCGAAATACGCCTAAATGTATACGTAAATAAATGTTTGAATTAACCTCGAAATATGCATAAATCTGTATGTGAATATTTTGGAAATTTGAGTTTACCCCGAAATACGCTTAAATATATTCGTGAATGTGTATGTTGTGTTTGTTTTTTATGTGATAAATTGTAGATTTATTGTAGATTCACGTATGAAGACTTATATTTTGAACATAAACGCACACAAATAAATAGTTATTCTTTCTCACCTTTTCGCGAACACATGGTATCAGCACTATTTGACAGTGATCAGTGTATGAAATAAGCCAAAACCCTGCCAGACATCAGGGCTGGTAACTTCAAAATGTTACCAGCCCAAATCGGATTTAACCAGACCAGACAATCCAAAGAAAATTAATTACTCAGTTGTATGGAACATGTCATGTAAAATTTTACCAGACCATCGGGCTGGCCAGCTGTAAATTTAGACCGTCCGTCAGAAATCTAGCCCGTCTCGGGCGGTTGGATGCATTAGCAAATGCTCATGATATAGGCGGGGTCGGACTTACTTATGATTACGGAAATGGTTTGAATATTTCGTTTGGTTGATTAATTTGTGTTTTCGTGTTTCACACGACGTGAAGGTTGTACAAACCAAGAAAACAAATGTTAATCTAAACAATGTGATAATTGTTGTTGATGTTTCCTTATTTTGTTATTATGTAAACACTTTCGTGCAATACTTACTTAAGATGATAATTACGTTTTACCATTTTGTAAGTTTTCAGTGAGCGATATCATATTTTTCCAGTTTTTGTTTTTGTTGTGTCTGTAAAATTATATACTTTTGATATGAACAAACAACTTAATTTAAATTGATAAGGAGCCCCAACGAGAAGGGGTATTCAAACCTAGAAATTGTGTAGAAAAATCTTGACTTGCTCCATTTGGGACTTTTGCATTGATAGAAGGGCTGGTTGAGAGAAAACACGACTCGGGGACTTTGAGATGGTCTAGATACAGGTCTACCGCATGGACTTGGTTACTATTAAAAAAGATTTCGTGAGGAGTCTATGCGACGTGGTTATTTCGTGTCGTCGTTCCTCTCATAAAGTCAACAACTCGTTTGTCTTATCTAGATTCTATTTATATCTAGCTACCATGACACACCAGGACTATCAATGGCGGCGTTCAACAATATTCACGTAACTGACTTCTTCTGTGGGTATTTATATCTCATTGTGTAGTAGACCCATTAACAACACACTACACCACATACCGTTATCTAGCGGATCTGTTCTTCATTATACAACATAACTATTTGCTTTATGTCTCGTAACTGCGATTGCGTAAGTGTCAATTATGTTGTATTTTTGAATTATGTTTTCATTTTGCAAAACCACAGTGATCTCAACCATATTACAGTTTTTATATTTATTGTATACTCATAGAAACGAATAAGGGAACGCATGAAAGTGCAAGTGTTCCTAAATTTATTTCCAGAATTTCACTCAGAGTGCAATACATACCTTTTGAAGAAACTTGGAAAAGAATACAGGAACACTTGTCCTTTCATGTGTTCCCTTATTCGTTTCCATGAATATATATATAATTCCTACATTAGATGCAAAGTCAGCAAATCATACATCGTGTTACATATAAAATGAAAAACGTATTATTAATTTTTATATAAAGCAAGGTCAATCTTTTATCTTTCTTCTATAAACACCACCATTTTTCAGAGCAATACAATCATGTTTTAAGAATATTCAGCCCATGTGCTTAAGTCAGTATTTTGAATTTGCGACCATCTGTTTACATTCCGTTACCGATTCTTTTACAACAATAAGCACGAACACATTATTTATCTGTGTGTTATGTTTTTAGTTAATTGCCTCTTCACATTGTTGAGCTAAACGGAAATGACACGTGTGTCACTCGAATATGGTTAAAGCATTACCGTTACAAGTCACGCTCTAATACTGTTGTTTTGCAATATATTGGCTGAGGTGCATCACCATGATGGAACCCTGATGTAGAAGGAACACGATAACATTTGCAGGTACGAGTATTCTACAGTAGGACAGTCTAAGAACGAAATCGGATATTGAGGACTAAAAATTATAACGAACTACATGTATTTGAGACATTTCGACTATTTTATCAATAACGCACAATTATTAGTTATTAATGTCAGTCTACTTTACCTTCGACAGATCAGTGTGCTGGTCTATGGAGATGTCAGTGAGCACGATTTAGTACCCATTGATTTGCGGGTATTAAAATGCTGCTTCCCATCGTAGTTACTTTATATATTTTTAAATTAAGAATCGCAAACAAAACGAAAATATCTTCATTCACCGTTTTGATCGCATAAAATAGTTACAGTACAATATATCAGCAATATTACAATATTAACAAAATATTTTAGCTTCGTATACCCCAATGAAACGACTCTACTAATATGCATGTCAATATGTTTTTTAGCAAGAGTTACATGTAGGAATGCCAAATATCTCTGACGTATGTTCCAGAACAGGCATAGATTGTAAGAACATAATATCGTATGTTTTTATGTATTAGTTGTTTTAACGGAGTTTCAGATATTGTCCATATTTCAAGTCGGATAATGCTAGATGGCGTAATAAGATTTGATTGAAATAAAATTTATTATAAGTATTTTAATACGCACCGCTTAAGATGAATGATGTGTAATTTATGGTGTCAAGTTCAGTTCATCTCATATGTCACATGTTGTCCACATTTGCAGAAAATGACATTATTCCCATATATTGGAATATTTCAAGACCTTTATTAAAGTTCTGAACCATGCAGTTCTATAAAACATTGTCATTTATATGAATGAATCGTCAGTTATGTCATTGTTGATTTTTGTGTGTGACTTTGGTGTTTTCCGTAAGATGGGTTCCTTGTATCATCGTTATAGTCTCTTTTTATGAAATGTATGTGAGATAGTTTTGTACATGCAATTACCTCCTTGGTGTGAAACAAAGCGAACATTTAAACCATGTTTCCGAAATCATACACCTCATTTCATTCTACAAAGCATTTAACTTAAATTAGTTATACTGATAAATAAATCTAAACGCGTTTCTGAGAATTACATCAGAATTAAAATGTATTTAATGTAAGGATTCTTACTTGACTTTTCAATACCAATTCTTGCTACACACACAAAAATAGCGAACCCTGCATCAGTGACTTGACGATCTTCTGTTTTACGATAGAAATTCCTTCCTGCTAATTTTTGGATGTAATTATTTCAGCGGACATCGGCTGATGTAATTCACATCTGTGTGCAATAGAAAAGCAATTGACAACAGAGGTATGTCAATCATTGTATCCAGTGTTGCGGCACATACACGAGTGGTATATTTGTTGGCACATTTAGGTGTAGCTGAAGAAAATGTCCGCGAACACTGGGTCTACTGATTTATTACATTATGCATGCAGTAACACATTTTCAAGATGCGTTCACTGAGATGTTTTTTTTCTCAAAGAGGATTTTTTTCAAATGCATGGTAAAGCGGAATGTACATTTGTGCTTGTCTAAAGATTTACAACATAATGACTTATGACAAGTATTATCATTAATATAATATATAACAACTTCTTTATTATACACACACGTTTCAGGGTTTGTTCATACCACTTCATCAGGGACAAAACTCCCATACATTATTTTCTTATCGTAATCGGAGCGGTAATATTAATTTATTAGTGCTGATAATTGTAACGATTGTTTACTTAATTATCAACATAC